AAAAAAAAAAAAAAAAAGAACAAATAGCACAATGCCTTACATACCTTTTGCAGCAACTCTCGTCTTCTCTTAATTATTAATTTTTGGTGAAGTTTTTTCTTTTCCTGCTTTAAGTCATAGTCCAACTTCTGCTTTACAGAAAAGATTTCTGTCTGAGCCCTCTCCAGCAGCATTTCCATTTGATCTTCGTCCAAGTACCCTGCTCTGGACAGAAAAGATGTAAACTCAGTCAGTGCCATCCCCAGACTCGCGTGTAGTTTGCTGCTATGGCTGAGAATTTGTGTCTGTATGAGTTTGGCTGGAATCAGAAAAATCTTTGTCCTCCAGAAGGATTAGGAGGACAGGTGGCTAAGACATTCATAAAATCCCAGCAGAACAAGGTCAGTGGCATCAGAGATAGGCAGGGAAATTCAACACAGGAGAGAGATCATCTATCAGGGCAGAAAGCGGCATGAGTTCCAGACAAAGCAACATTCACAAGAACACTGTGGTACAGATAGAGTTTTCCAAGCGGAGATGGTGGATTAAAAAGCCTAGTTTTAAGAATAACACAAGCAAGTCAAAGAGGTGAATGTGGGGATAGTACAACAAAGTAACTATAATCAACAATAAGTTAGGGTATATTAACTAAAAGAATGGAATTGGAAGGCTTGGTCAGATAGGAACTGATGAGGGCCTAAACTACAGCATGGAGCATGAGACATGTGGCACTTGCTGGACGACACCTATTGGGGAATACTCTGTGTGGTGTTTAACTGTGTGTTCCAACCAGACAGGCCCAGGTGAAATGGTATTTCCAGGTATGTCTGTGATGGTGTTTCTGGGTGAGCTCAAGAGAGTAAATGGTCCTCCCCAGTGTAGGGGGCATCACTCAGTATGCTGAGGTCTTGAAAATACCAAAAGGGCAGAGGCAGGAGGAATCTGTTCCTTTTTTTCTAATTCATAGCTTAAGGTGGGACCTCTCATTTCATCTTCTCCTGTGCCCTGGACTGAGATTTACACCATCTGCTCTCCTGGTTCACAGGCCTTGAGAGTTGGACTGAATTACAAATTACAGGTCCTATTTCCCTGGGGCTTCAGCTTGCAGAGGCAGATGGTGGGACTCCTCAGCTTCCACAGTTGTGTGACCAAATAATCTAACAATCAATCAATCTTTCTATCTCCGCATACACACACACACACACACACACACACACACACACAGCATATATACATTTTAAGAAAGAGAAAAACTGTACTAAAATTGTAATATTCAATATATACCAATATTGTGTCTTATATCTCTTGTGTGGAAGTCAAACAGGACTTGGGTATTAAAACTTTAACACAAAGTTTCTTTTCTTAAAATGTGCATACATTTTTGGCACCCTCTATTTGTGTGTGTTTCATATACACATTGTCAGTTCTGTTTCTCTGGAGGACCCTGACTAGGATTCTCTGCTACCATTCCATTGCTAGTCCTCACTGTCTGCATCCGTGGGCTGGGTCCCCCACTTGGCACAGGGAAAACTCTCAATGGAAGCTTCTTGAGGAATGAACAGTAGACACATGTTTTAGCAATGTAAGTCTGTGCAGGCTTTTTCAAAGAAAATTTTAAAATAAGAGGTGAAATATTCTTCCTTGCTCACTGCTTACAATCAGCATGTGGATACTTTGATTTGAGCAAGAAACCATTTTTTTCACGTGAGTACAAATTAATCAGGACTGTCAAGTAAATTGCAGGACTATGTTCATTAGCATCTTTAGCTGGGGAGTGTTTGCATAATTTACACCTTAGAGAATCCTCATTAAACAGGGCAGGAGAGGAGCAAAGTCCTACTAAAATTACTAAGTGATAAAACCAATTCATAAAACTACAAAAAATCAAGGTTAGAAAGCCAACTTCACAGTCACATCCCTATTCATTTTAGAGCTTCTCATAAGCTAATGAGAATAAATTTCATTATTTACAATTAAGTCACCACAAAGAAGAGCTGAGAAGGGCTCCATGGAGAGTTGAGGGACTGCACTTATGAGAACTCTGCAATGTCACCATTGACCTGACCCTGAGGCACCCCAGGTGCTACTGAGAAAACCCATCCAGAATCTAGGATAAGCTTTGCTGTATCTATACCTAATGGCAAAGGTGAACACAAAGCCAGCAGTCAGCTAGGTCTCAGAGACATGGCTCTTCCAACCATCATTGACTTCTCTAGAAAATGTTGATGGAGGTTTGCTTCAAAATAATCCAGGTAGGCACACAGCTCCAACAAGTCAACTCCTGCTAGAGCCAAATGATGGCAGCTTGGGGGGGTTCATTATTAGACCACCTTGACTATTGTGTATATACTTAAAATTCTGTAATGCAAAGGATTTTTACAGCTAGAGAATTCTTAAGTAAGGGGAGAGGGGATGCAGCATGATCACCAATAAGAAAAGCCCAGCAAGTGTCCCTCGGCCAACATGAAATTCAACAACTGTCTTGCAAGGAAGCACCTTCAGAAGAACTAGATCCCAGGAAGGGATGTTAGTACCTAGTTAGTTTTTGACATTGTATCAAGAAACAAGGCACTGAAGGGGGCAGAAAGGACAGTCTGGCCTGACCTACACCACCCTCCCACATCCTCATGCAGTGCTATGCCAGCTCCCTGGGCAGAGAGATGATCTGTATCCCCAGGGGAGGGACAGTGAAGTGACTGACATTTTGCAATGAAACTCAGGGCCACCCTGGCACAGAGAAACAGCACAGGACAGAATTCTGCTGGTACCCACCAAGGGGATGTTTAGACTAGCCCAGCCACATGCAAACCTTTCACTAACCTCACCACTAGCAGACAAAAGATGGTCTGGTGCCTACACTAAATTCCAAGGGAATCAGGCCACAAAGGCTGCAGTTCTGGTGCAATTCCTGCAGCTGTGCTGGCTTGGAGCCAGTCAACTTGGGTGCACAGGAACCCTATGGTAGTGAGCAGGCCGGTATCTCCAGTGAGATACCTGTGGTAGTGACCAGGCCAGTGCCTTTGTCGTCCCTTCCCCAACTTTAGGGACTGCCACTCAGGGAGAGTGTTCTTCTACTTGGGGAAAGAAAAAGGAAGAGTTCAGAGAACTTTCTTTTGCATGTTGGGTACAAGCTCACCAACAGTAAAATAAACCAGACATCTGAGGCCCCAGTGTAGGCTTCATTTCCTGGAGGGCATTTCAGACCCATTTTAGACCCACCCTGGGTCAAAAGGAAACACGCTGCTCTGAAGGGAAAGACACAGTCCTGGCAGACGTCACCACCACCTGCTGACTAAAGACCCCATGGAGCTTTGAATAAATGTCACAGGTAACCAGGCAATGGTCACCATAGGCTTTGTGTAAGCCTGGACACTGGTGGCCATTAGAGAGTGCCCATGTCACTCCTCCTCCAACTCCAGTAGCCCAGCACGGATAATGAGGGGAAAGAGTGAGAGCCTCTGCCTGGTAAGCCAGTGAATTCTCCCATGTCTTACCCAAGCCCACCAAGTGGTATCACTCTCTGCAAGGGTCACAGCATTACTGAGCTTGGGGCACCCCTAGTGCTGATATGGCTGCAGTGACCAAAGACTTAGGTCACGATATTCGATTCCCTCTGAATATCTAGAAATCTTTCTCAACAAGCATGGATTCAAAGAAGCCCAGACTGTGAAGACTAAAATAAACACCTAATTTTTCAAGGCCCAGACATCAACAAACATCTACACACATAACCAACATTCAGGAAAACATGCCCTCACCAAAAGAATTAACTAAGGTACCAGTGATCAATCCAAGAGGGATGGAGATATGTGACCTTTCAGACAAAAACATTCAAAGTAGCTGTCCTAAAGTAGCTCAATGAACTTCAAGACAACAAAGAGAAAGATTCAGCAGCCTGTCAGAGAAATTTGACAAATAATTAAAAAAAAAAAATCAAGCAGAAACACCGGAGCTGAAAAAAATTCAATTAATGAACTGAGAAAAGCATCAGAGTCTCTCAACAGCATAAATAACCAAGCAGAAGAAAGAATTAGCTTTAGGGCAACCTATTTGAAAACATATAGTTAAAAAAGAAAAAAGGATAAAGAAAGAATGGAGAGTGAGAGTGGAGAGAGAAGATTCCAGGCATCTCTGGCTTGTCGGCTCCTCCAGAAACATCCCTTTGGGGATTCAGGGAGACAGTGAGAGACTTCTGCACCCCAGGAGGAGGACAAAAGCAGTGGAGAAGTGGCAAGTGGTTGTGAACAGGCTACCACAGCCATAACTACAACAGCAGCAAAATTGTAGACAGGGAAAGCCTTCCCTGTGGGTTGCTTTGTTTGTTTGGACTTGGGCACTCAGTTGAATTCCCTTGGGAGAACTTGGGTGAGAGAGCGGGTAACATTAAATCTTATCCAGGGCACAGGACTGAGCCACTGGGCCAGAACACAGTTAACATTGTTTGGCTGTGGGCCATGCATACAGCCATTGTGGGAGAACTAGCCCTGCAGTCACCACCCTCAGGGTCACACAGAGAGGCTTGGGCTGGGAGACATTGGGCAAGTGATCTAGTGACTGTGAACAGTGTCAAAGGCTGGGACTGAGATGCCAGGGAAGAGTGGAACTTTCAGTGTTTGGCAGTGTGAGGGCTGCCTTGCAGCCTTGGCCCTCAGGGGCATAGAGTGAGGCCAGTTTTGACCCACTGGATAAGCGGGCAGTCACTTCAGGAGAGATCCCAGCAACAAGCGCTTTCCTAGAAAAGCTTCTGCTTAGCCAAGGTTAACAGTTTACAGTATCTTTTAAGCACACTGAGGAGAGATTCAGGCCCTCAACCCTGTGGGGTTTGAGAGCAAAATAGTCAGCAGAGCCTCTAATCTCCATCATATACAACTGTATCAATATTGTGATTAGCATCTCATACCCCAGAAGATCACCTGTTGCCCAGACAATATTCAGTAAGATACATACACTGCTTTGTTTTTGGATTTGGTCTGTTTTTCTTTTTTCTTTCTTCATTTTTCAAGGGTAAATATAATTTTTCATTCATTTTTGCTAGTGTTTCTGCCCCTATTATTTGGTTTTTACCCCCAATTTTATCCTGTAAGATTTTCTGTTTGGTTTGGTTTGATTGATAGTATTTTTGTCTTTCCTCTCTATTTGGTGGAGGTAGGGTACCATGTCTGCTCAGGCTGGCAAAGAGCTGCTGACCTCAAGGGAATCACCCAACCCAGCACCTGCAGAGGTTG